GGTCCAATCCTATTTCTTATTTTAACCCCCTACTCCTTGTTTTCGAGTGTCACTTTGCCCCTTGGAACTGAGTTAAGCAACCTCACTGCTGGGCTTTAGTCACATTTCGGGAATCATATGCCTTCAAAGAGGGGATGCGACAATTATCTACCATTTCCTACCCCTGATTCTTCAGTGATAGGAAGCTGAAGTCAGATATTCGGCAACTTCTTGTTCGAATTTTTTGTTCCACCTTAAATGGTGGACCAGGAAATTTAGCTAGCTGGCAACCGAGATATCAACAAACTACTTGTGATTTATTATGCCTATTATGAAGAAAAGGGCCATTATACATTGAAACGACGTTAAACTAAGACCATACAGTGGTTATTGTAATTTTTAACGGAGAAAATTCTCCCATTTGTGGGTGTCTTTGGTCACTCGCACAGCCATCTTGCCAGTTTTTCTTTTTTTCTCATAACACTCTGTTTGGAATGTGCCTTTGAAAAACCTCCCTTTGCAGGGCCATGTAGCCCTAACACTAACCTATCTCAACAAAAATCAGGACACCCTGCCCCTAGGCTTGAATGTGCAAAACGGAGGGCTAGGGCTAAGTGGTAGTGGTGAAGGGTGAAATAGGATTGGGCCTTTGTTTAACATCTCAATCATTTAGTTATCTGAAATTTTGAAAAATCAGTGGAATTCCCCTTTAAAATGTGTACTCAGGCATGTCAAACTGGGGACAGAGATTAGCGTTTATCCTCATCTAACGCTCTGAATTCAGTTCATGAAGGCTTTGCTTTGCTAAAGAGCTGAATCAGGTGTGTTTAATGAGGCAGTGAACTGAAGTCTGCAGTGTTTCGGCCCACGAGGACTGGAGCCTGACATGCTTTAGAGGATGATTTAGAAAATTAACAAAATGCAAATATGCAAACATCTGCGCATGACTGTATATTATGTTCCATAATACATCTTTTATTTGGATCTAAGAATTTTTTTTAAACTCAATATCAGTTCAGTAATATTATCATTAAGACTTGGACACAGATGGAAACGGACAGTTTGTTGATGAGCATCTTGTTCAAGGCTCGGTCAGGAACCCGTGTGGAACGCTGGCTTTTGCTCTTGGTTTCTCTACATCGTCAGCGCCTCCCAACATGCTTACATGTACCTTTATTACGCTTTATTATTAAACATTAATCTAATCCAGAAAGCAGATGCGGCGCCTTTTCAGCTCCGGTTCCCGGCTGGGGCTTTAAAATATGCTTGACAGCTCTCACAATACGCCACAGACATCAACAGCAGTAATTTGCGTGATTAATTTTAATTTGCATGCTTTGCATAGAGACATCTGTTTCATTAATTAAATTCATTAACTCAGCAGCCCACCGTCCAGTGCACACCTGAGTCAGAGCAACATCAGCACAGCTTCTCCGGCTCTGAGACGGCAGTCGGCAGCGCTTAACAGCATCTGATAAATAATGCAGTATCCATATGAGCAAGGGCAAAGGTCAACTGGAAAGAAATAGGGGGTGGGGTGTCGGATCAGCTGCTGTGTCCTGATGCTCGTTCTGCATAAAGGCCCCCAGGCCAAACATTAGAACTCTTAGCTGTCGACAGCCAGTCATTCACTTTAATATTAGGACAGAATATTAGGTGGATCAGATGTTTTGCTGGAATAAGTGTATAAAAGGTAATAAATGAGAGAGAGAGAGAGAGAGAGAGAGAGACTGATAGTTTATATGGGCTGGGAGAGAGAGAGAGAGAGAGACTGATAGTTTATATGGGCTGGGAGAGAGATGATTATGAGGAAGGTTACAGGGCCTACATCATGGAAAACCATCATTTTTAAACACTGTGTCCACTCACTGTCCACTCTTGAACACTCCTACCTTGTCGGTCCACCTTGTAGATGTAAAGTCAGAGACGACAGCTCATCTGCTGCTGCAGTTTGTGTTGGTCATCCTCTAGTCCTTCATCAGGGGTCGCAGGACGCTGCCCACAGGACACTGTTGGCTGGATATTTTTGGTTGGTGGACTATTCTCAGTCCAGCAGTGACACTGAATGGTTTAAAAACTGTCTGATCCACTCAGCTCAGTGCAACACACATTAACACACCACCACCACATTAGTGTCACTGCAGTGCTGAGAATGATCCACCACCCAAATAGTACCTGCTCTGTAGTGGTCCTGACCACTGAAGAACAGGGTAAAAGGGAACTACAATGCGCACATGTGATAAGTGGAGCTAATAAAATGGACAATGAGTTTAGATACAAACAGGTGCAATAAATGTGAATAGAATGTAAATACAGTTCTAGTTCAATAAAGTCATACGACCCCTAAAATGTTTCCACTTTTGCTATGAATCATAACAGAAGGCAGCAGGTTCTAGTGGACTGGCGAAGAACATTAAATGGACATTTCCTGGACCACTCAGCTACTGTGTTCTTTCTCCGTGCTCTTATTATGTAATATATAGCCATAAAATTAAAGGCGACGTTGCTCAGTATTTAAGTTATTCTCTGTAAACTTGGCTCATACTTGATGTTTTTAATGGGTGTGCCACAGTTCTGTTGACCTGTGCCGAGATGATGGAAACACCTTTATTTGCATATTTTCTGCAGCATTTCACTTGTTCATTGGAAGTTGATTCATCAGCTTGATTGAAACCTGGTTATTATCAAAACACACCTTGTATCTTCCGAATGGCTGAATGTACGTCTGTGTAACAAATGAATTCCAGGTGATTTTGGAATATTTCATTTGGTCCATTTATCATGAAATGCTCACACAATGTAAAGGCAACTGCCCTTTAACACCAAATGGTGTTACACACAAGCTGTAAGAAACTGGCATGAGGTTTAAACGTCACAGCGATGAAACGGTCCTCAGCCGTCCACTCTAAAGAGGGGAGACTGTCAGCATGAACAGGCCAGAGGCAGCAGGTCTGATAGAGCAGTCACTTTATTGAAGGGAAGAGCATACAATTCATCATCTGTACAGTATTTAACAAGCACTCCTTCAAGGCCTGTTCCCAGATCAGCGGGTGAGACTCTGCAGCGTGAGAGACAATGATGGCGAGAGAGAGAGAGAGAGAGAGAGAGAGAGCGGTCCGGCAGAGCGGAGACACGGTGCACACGGCTCCATCACAGAGGTAATGCGTTTGAGAGGAGAAACAATAATGATGGTGATAATAATAAAACACTGCAGGCTAATCCAATGCTAGCATTCAGCTCCTGTACTCACAAAGCATCTTTAAAACACAAACACTGATTTAGGATCAGATGAGTTGTTGTATAGGGCCACACGAAACCGATCCAGGAACAGCCCTCTAGTACGGAGACTGCTTGTGAACATGAGTCACATGGGCAGAACACTGAGGCAATGGCAGAATCCAAAACAGTGGCCGTGTAGTGCACCTATGTAACGCACCATCCATATATGTGCACGATATACACTCACTGGCCACAGGTACACCCACCATTTATCCACACTCGTCCATTTTTTCAGGTCCACTTTCTATACAGGTGTGCCTTGTAGATCGACAGTTACAGACTGTAGTACTGTTGTATAATAATAGCCCTCCTGTACACCAACATCCAGAAACTGGACACTGCTGAAGAACTAGAGAATGACTAACGCTGGGTTAAGGGTTTCCTGTGGAAGTACGTGATTTAGCAACAAGCAACAAATCAATCTACAATTTTATGCAATAAATTATGTCATGGACAATGAATTCCTATGCAAAAGTCTGAACACCCCCTGTGAAATTACATGATTTTGAAGTGAAAATAAGAGAACATACGTAAAATCTGCCCAATCTCTGCAAATTTAAGAGCACAATTTCTATTTATTTGTGGAGTTTGGAAGTCCAAGCAAACATTTGAGAAATGTATATATATATATATATATATATATATATATATTGCTGCTGTCTGAAAAAAACCTTGTTTCTCCATTTTTGTTGTTTTTCAGTTTTTGACATAATTTTGAAAATACCTGTTGCCCTTTACATTGTATGTAAATTTCATGATGAATGGACTAAAAGAAATGACCCAAAATGACTTGGAACATATTCTGGTTCCACTGATTTACATTGAAAGCAAAGTGTGTTTTTTCCTTCTCCTGTAAAGTTACCAAGGTTTTCTTCTGACAACAGCGATATATATAATGTGCCATAACTTTTGCACAGGCCACCTTTTATGTGTTTTTCCCCCATTATGTTAAGTTCAGTGCATTTTAATGCTCAGTTCCTGCTTACTTGCAGAAGTGCGTTCTCTGTAGAGCAGTGTTTCTCAAAGCGGTCCCTGATTTTTTGATGTGTGGCAAGTTAGGGGCAAAAATTTGGACCATTTGGGGGCCCTAAGGACCGCTGTAGATGACGTTACCTTACTTTCAGTTAGAAATTCAACAAACCATGTCATTTGACCAGGGATGTTCAAACTTCTGCACCTACCTGTAGACGACTAGTGTGTGTATAAACATCTTCACATCTACAAGGCCGAACGACAAGGCAGGTGTTTCTAATAAAGTGGACAGTAAGTGCAGTAAGTGTACCAGCACAACACTTACTAAAATACCAGTGCTGCTGCACTGAGAATGATCCAGCACCCAAATAATACCTGCTCTGTGGTGGACTTGTGGGGGTCCTGACCATTGGGCAACACAGTAAAGAGGTCAAATTATGCAGAGAAAGAGGTGGAACTACAGTCTGTAACTGCAGAGCTGAAAGGTGCACCTATACGTCAAGTGTACGAGTGTAGATGTAGGTGTGCCTAATAAAGTATCTAGTGACTTTATATACCCTTTGTAGGGCACTACGAAGTGAGCAAGGAGCATTTTTGCTCGTAGCCAGTGTGTTCACACCCTCCCAGCGCAGCGGCCATCCAGGGTGTCCATGCGTTCTGTTTCCGAGGTAAAGAAAGGCAGGCGCCTTCTGATGATCCGAGAAAAAGAAAAACACAAACGTACATACAAACAACAAAATAAAAACAAAAAACGGGAAAACAGAACACCCTGAATCACAACCAGGGCTTTAAGTGACTTTGTTTTGGGGCTTGACATAAATTAATACATTCCAGATCTAGTTATATAAAATAAACAGTAACATCTTACTATGGAATATTTCCTTTAAAAATGACTTTCTTTTTTTCTTCTTTGTTTTTTTTTTTTCCTTTTTCAAAATAAAACCCACCTCATGCTATATTGATAATCTACATACAACATTCACACTGTATTTACAATTATGTGCAGGTCCGTGAGGCCGGATGCTCGCAGATGGGGCCATTCGTTAAAAAGGAAACATTAGCAGGCTCGTTTAATGTGTATGTCTGTCCCTCTGTACACCAGTAGCTTATTTGCCCGCTGACAAATCTGTTGGCTTACGAACGCAAGGACACCATCCTGCCTAGTGTGTGTTTCACAGCACAATAACCTCCAAACGCTCCTGTTGCTCCTCCAACAGGTTACAGAAGCACATACACGCACGCCGCAGTAACGTCAACGCTTCTTTCCAGCCCCTCTTTCTCCGTGAAACCCCTCCGTGAAGAGCAACATGTGTTTTAGTCTGGTTCAGTGTAGTTGAGTGTTCATGTGTCTGTTGTCCTTTGAGAAGCAGTCGTATGCGTACGTGTGATTTTAGCATATGTTTTGAAGAGTTGGCACCTGTCCCCCTTCAGGTACGTCTGAAAATAAATAACAATAACCAAAGCAGCCCGATTGAGAGTTTAAAAATGCTACAGTTACAGAAAGTTGCTGCCGCACCTGGTATGATTGCATAATTACTGTAACCTCTGCAAAAGCATAGTGCTGAATCCCTGAATACTGATGTAGTGTTTCCATATGGAGAGGGAGAGAAACAAAGCAAGAGAGAGAGGAAACAGAGGCAGAGTGAGATAAGGGAGACAAATAAGAGTGTAAAAAAAAAACATCAATCTGAATTTTGGAGTGGTGGAAATGATTATAAATGATTCTAATAATATTCAATAAAGTTTGAGCTCGTTTTTTTAGTTATTTGGAAAAAGGAAATCCAACTAAAAGAGAACGTCTGTGGTGTTGTTTTTACGGTCTGTGTGATGGTTTGCTCAGTCGCATTAGGGTATTCGGTGTGATACCTAATTGTACTTAAACAGGGCTCCAAACTGGTTTGAGGAGAAAACGGAAGCAAAATTTTGCTAAAAACAAAATGCAACTGAAATCAGTTCTGAAGTTCCAGGGTAACAAAGTGTAAAACACATGTTTGTATTATACTAAAATTCAGCTGAACATCTGTCAGGAGAAAAAAAGGCAGAAATATAATCAAACACAGCTGAAAAATCACCCATCAGTCCTATTTAAACTCTATGTGGGCGTGGCCTAATATGCTAATGAGTATGCATGATTGACAGCCATGAGTCTAACATGCTCAACCTGCACTGAAACAAAACTAAACACAAAAGCGTGAGTGGAAAGAGGCTCTACATAGCGATATATATTTTATATATATATATATATATGTATATATAAAAATTTATATAAGATTTTGGGACAATGGTCAGCTGCTGAACTCAAATGATACAGAAAAAAAATCTAGATTAAAAACGTTTTTTGGGGACAGAGAAAGTACAGGTCATGTTTTCCCCACTGTGTTCAGTCTTAAAGAAGGTAACGTTCTTATTGACTTTCCTGCTGGATGTGTGGCCAGTGAATTGTGGCATGGCCGGTTGACCAAACAAACAGACAAATGGATGTTCTTGACAGTTCAGTTGTGCTTGCTAGTTTAGCTTTCGCTTGGTGTTTAGCTTTCTCCCGCTAAGCTTCTCCAACTTGAACAGAGAGAAGAGATGATTGGGGAACATAGAGAACACTGTGTGGGCTGGACAAACCTCATCAGCCTTGTGATTGGTGGGTATCTAGTTTACATACGCACTAGCCAAGATTAGGACTGCCCAGTTTACATCGAAAGAGGAGAATGTTGGCAAAATACCAATCAGCCATTTATTGGTCATTGGGATGTTATTCATAGGACATCCTGTGTACATGTATATTGTGTGCCCACAAGAACGAGGTTAGGTTCCCTGGGGCTTCAACTGTTGGGGAACAGAATCGTTATTTTGAAGTTTAGCAATGTTAATTTTTTATTCAATGTAGCCCACAAACCATATGATTTATTACCTCCAAACTCCCAAATGTTTTTGGAACATCATGTCAAGCATGATTTTGTCAATGAATAATTTTATAGTTTTATATAACATGCATGTGAAATTTTTGTGCTTAGGCTATAGATTTGACCTGTAAGTAGACAACAGCTCTGCTGTGCTCTCACATGATTTGTTTTGTATCGTGTCATAATGTGAAAAACCATTTATACAGCTAGAAGTCTATGCATATTTAAATGGGGAATTTAACACTGACACTGTATTTGGACTTAGTTTGATCATAACAACCTTTGGTGAATAATATTGTGGAGCAATTTACTAATTCTCAACTGCCGCGTCTAACAGCTTTCCTACTGTTTTCCTAGGCCTGCCTGTAACCTGCGAAAAAGCAATGGAATTGGCAACTTTCGGTTTTGCTCTGACTGGTTTAGGAATGTTATGTTGGGATAAACGCAAAACGTAAATCTTAAAATAGTGGTGCTCCTCTAAGTGAACTGAACGATTTATTTTTCCAATTGTGAGGCATGCACTGCAAACACTGAATCAAATTGTGGTGAAATCTGAATCACTGAATCGTTTCATGAAGAATCTTGATCAAACTGAATCACTGTGACATCAGGGATTTACAGCCCTAGAAATGAAAGACTGAAGCGAGCTCCAGAAAGGAGGATGAATGGAGGATGAGGAAAGGCGAGCTGAGACCAGGAGAGAGTGGAGCTCAGGGACAGAACAACTACTGCAGCTATATACGGCCTGCAGTAAAGACTCAAAGCAGCTAGAGTTTCAATGGCACCAGGATGGAGAGAGTGAGAGAGTGAGAGAGTGAGAGAGAGAGAGAGAGAGAGAGAGGTTACCTGAGGTGTATTACCAAATTAAAAAAATGAAGATTTCAGGAAAAACAATACCGGTGAGCTCTGTGTGTATGAATGAATGAATATATAAGAAAATCAAACTTTGCTATTTAAAAGGGGAGAAATACAGATGATCAATCACAATAACTGAAGATCTCTCCAAAAGACTGTACCCACAATTCCACTTTTCACTCTCCACAGGCACAGCACCACTTCATTCACTCAGTTCCTAAATAACAACATCTAAAATGCTTCAAATACGACAGACAGAAGAGGAAGAAAGAAAACCAATATTGTGGAGCGACATGGAAAGGCAGAAACACTCGATTTGTGTGTGTGTGTGTGTGTGTGTGTGTGTGTGTGTGTGTGTGTGTGTGTGTGTGTGTGTGTGTGTGTGTGTGTAAGGGCTGGGGTCAGAACGGTTCTCTAAAATGCTACAACAGTACTGATTCAATTAATGCATTTTTGGTTGTGATTTGAATCAACAAGGCCAGAAGGAAACAAACTTTGAAGGAAACAGAGCTGAAATAAACGAATAATGAAGGAACACTGAATCTACTGCCTTGAAAGTCATTATTATTTCATCCTGTTCAGGCAATTTGTCACAACATTTTACCTTATATTGTTGCAGTCATAACAAAACCACATGAAGACACTGTATTAGAAGAGACAATTCACTGGTTGAGAAATGAATGGGATAGCGTGTAACATCTAACATGGCATTATTAATACAGCAAGTTTTTAAAGGGCCAGGCAACAGCCAATCGCTTTGAAGGTGTTAAGTGTGTAAAGTCCAGCCTTGTTAAGGGGATGCGCACATGCAGTAGCCAGAACAACCTGAAAAAACACATTCTTGTGGATTACTTGAGCCAAAGCTACGAACTATTTACGCTATTTTTGGTCAGATTTTATCAGTGATTTCAAATACGTTGAAACTGTCAGTCTGGGGTTTATAGATCTCTCTCCAATCATAGAGACAGGAGCCTGGTCTTGTATGAGTGGAAATAACTGCCCGGAAACATTGCCAAGACAGCCGCTGAGTGAACAGACTTTCCTGTAAGGACTCATGGGCCAGTTTCCCAAACCCAGATTAAGCCTAAGCCTAGGCGAAATTGGAATTTTAATGGTGAAACACCACCGGCATTATAATTTAGCCCAATACTCAACTTAATCCATGGCCACAAAACCGGCCCCATATTTCTACAACTTTACAGGAGAAAGAAAATTTGTTCTTAACTTTAATCTACGTGGCAGGAACAAGATTTTATTCCAAGGACATTCTTAAAAAGGTGGCAAAAGGGCCCAATACTGCACAGTGCTGTAGAAGAACTACTTTAAACTTTTTAAATAGTTTTCTTTTTGTTCTTCACACTCACAAATGTCCTTTTTTAAATGACATCACTTTGTGGACCATTTCTATTAGTAGCCTAGTGATAGAAAAGGTGAACCAGCAACCAGAAGGTTGTGGGTTCAAATTCCAGAACTGAATATATCTGGTTGTGGCCTTGGAGAAGGCTTTTTAATTCCCCACTGCTCTGCTGTTGATGCTGTGCTGCCCCCAGACTGGACATGGTAGGCATCAAAGTGACATCTTTCTTGTTGAATCAATAAAAGCACATAAAATAAAACGTAAAAATGAAATAAGTTTTCAGGTGTTTTTATGACTGCAACGATATATTACCAGTTCAGGAACTCCTGCATGCCTCACTGAAAAGACAGAGGATTCCTGTGAGGTTACTGAAAAGAGTGGTGGATCGAATTTCATGAATTTCAATTCGTCTCTCTTCAAATGATGTTTGCTGGCTCCTGTTTGACTCAAACGGTTCAAACTGATGCATTTTATAAACTCCAACACTCAGAAGTTCCCCGAGGCCGGCGAGTATGGCTGTGTGTATTTGGCTGGATCCTGTTCAGCTCGAGCTGGGCCAGCTGCCTCTCAGCGAGACCGGCTCTCTGCTCTGCGTTACAGAGTTGAAAAGGAGCATATGGCGGACTGAGGTATACCTGGTTCAGGGAGGTCTATGCTTGATCTGATGCAGCGCTGTGAAATGATTCCTCAGTAGATCTGACTACTGTGTGTGTGTGTGTGTGTGTGTGTGTGTGTGTGTGTGTGTGTGTGTGTTTGTGTGTTGAGCAGTAGTACACTGGACATTCAGAAGCGGTTTCTTATTGGCATTACAATAATCATTCATAGAAACACGCCAAGAAAAAAAAAAGCAAATATAGTTTAAAGAGTGATGCCCTTTTTATACTAAAATCAATGTTTTTTTTTCTTGTGATAAAAGTTTTCACTCTTTAAAAAGAAAAAGAAAACAAAGAAACCATAAACGTCAGCGAGTCTTCCGCTTGTAGAAAAAAACAGTTGTGGTGCAAACGGCGACTTCCGTGAGCCTCCATTGTGAAGGTCCTTTGTGTGTGAGTTTTTTGATCAGTTTTCAAGTGTTTTCTTTTTCTCTCCAGAAGTGCACGGGAGTCTACAATGAGTAAAGCGTCTCACACCTGGTGCTGAAGGTGCTCCTGATATACGCCAGTTCACACCTCACACAACGGTGTTGTCCTGTTGCCGGAGTCCGATTGGCTGACGATGAGCTGCATCATAGGCTGGACTCTTTGGGTGGGTAGTCCAGGTTGGTCACCATGGTGACGACGGTGAGGATGTCGTCAGGGGCGATGAGGTTGGTCTGTCGCTGCATAGTGATGATGCGTTCCTCCACACAGCCGGCGGAGAGCCGCGCCTCCGCCTCGTGATCCCAACACTCCTCTATAGTCTCAGACAGCATGGCCAGGCCCTGCCACACAGTGACGATTACACATCGTTATACTGTTATAATGACAGAATTACACTCTATTACAATGCACTGCCTCCTATTCTGCTTCTGTCGGTACTGTTTTAGAATATGTCTGCATGTATGTACTCTGCCTGGCAAAACTTTGGGGGTGCTTTCTTTTGAAATTTGTATATGACTATTTTTCCCCTAAATAAAGATTTGATCGTTTTCTTTTCCACACTGTTAGGGATGCCCTGATACCATGTTTTTCCTTGCGATACGGTACCTGATCCTCAAGTATTTGCTGAAACTGAGTACTGATACCAATACTAACTTTATTTAATCTAACATCCCGTTTGGTGTCTATAAACACTAATGTTCATATATATATATATATATATATATATATATATATATATATATATATATATATGTACAAGGTTTGCAGGTACTTTTTTGGAGATGCAAGATTAAGTACGACTGTTTCTGTAAGTTAACAGCAGCCACTTCACTTTTAATATGAACCACATTTGACAACCGAAGTTCTGGTGCTAAATATTGTTTCATATCTGAATTTCTAAAGTCGCGCTTAGATCTTCAAGCGTCTGACTCTGCTTGAGGTCAGTAAAAAGTCACCCATGCTACCAGTATCAGTTGTTGAGTCGGAATTTCGGCCTCATGCATGAAACAGGCCCCAGACCACTGATCTGATGCAGTTAACTGAGGCCACACCGCAGGCTGTGCTAAAAGAAACAGAAGCAATGCTGAAGACTAAACCCAGGCTAAAGGATACTGTTTCCAAAGAGACTGAATGTTCCTTCCATACATCTCTCAATGGACAACAACCTGGACTATCATTAACTCAGGCTGCAACTGACTACCCAGTGAGAGATGCGATGTTGCTGCAAGACATGTGACAGCCTGACTAGACGGGCAGATAAAGGGAATAATGTTAGTTATAACGTGATAAGTGCCACAAGTGTGTATAAAATGCGTCTTCGTCATGAGGAACATGAGATGCATCACTCAATGTGGAAAGTATTATCCAGCCAATAGTCCAAAGGTGGTTTTACCACCTGTAAGGTTTGAGTGCTGATGAGTGCCATCATTACAACAAGGGGATAAAATATGTGGAGTCTGGCATTATTCCCAAGTCCCACTGTCACAAATATGTGCACATATGCAATATTGTTTTCCTCCAATTTTGCAAACTGACAACAAAACTTATTTGTATTAAAAACATTTTGCCTTCAATTTGCTAGGCGTCTCCAAAGGTGTCCTCCATTTCAATCGGTTTATCACCTCAAAATATAGAGATTTTGTTTTGCTATCAATACCACTACATGAACAGTAAACCCATTTGGGTTTAGGCTTTAACAAGCTATAACACAAGAGTCTATCACCGTTGTTGGAAGAAAACCTTGTATCTCCATTTTTGACGTTTTTCAGTTTATGACATAATTTGAAAATACCTGTTGCCTTTTACATTGTATGTAAATTTCATGATGACTGGACTAAAAGAAATGACCCAAAATTACTCTGGGGGGGGGCACGTCTGTGTATCTGTGTCTCACCGTATGCTTCTGCCAGTACTCTCTCAAAGTTGGTCTGAGCTTCTTGTGTACAACGACTTCCTGCATGTCCTCTAATGACGGGTGCTGCCCCACCTCCTCTTCAAATGGCAATGCGTATTCATCCACCGGACCTAAAAACACACACACACATACACACACACACACACACACACAGCTCTGTCAGCCCTGTCTGTGCATGTGTGCTTTGGGGGTGTGAAGGGCAGGTCAGTAGGATCATGTTCTGTGTGGTAAGCACTAATTTCACACACACAGCTTCCCCCCCCTCTTCAGTGTCCCTCACAGATCCTCACAACACTCATAGTCATTCTGTATTAAGAGTTGAGGACTTGGACTATTGATACTACAGGGTGTGGAAATAGTGCATATGTATGCTGATATACAGTACTGTGCAAACATCTTAGGCAGCCAAGAACACAGTTTAAAACTATTTAACTCAGTAGGTCATTTTTGCGAATACAAACACTATGTGACGGTATAATTTGGGCAGCCAAAACATTCAAACAATTAATCGAAATGACATTATTTTGTGTGTTTTGTGTAATTAATAGTACTGTTTTGCGATGAATCAGATGTGCCTTATTTGACTTTAAAGAAAGATTTTCTTGCTATATGATTAGACAAAATGTATCTATTACTTTAAACAGTTCATTAACATGAATTTTATCATGTTTACGCAGGATTTGCATGAACCTGAACATAAAGTTTTGTGATGTAAATAGAATAAACACAGTTTCCAATTTTAAATCACTGGCATGTAGTGAGAGCAATAGTGGCTTCATATTTCAGCTCTTCTGTGATTGTTGTCCTCTTGCTCTTATTCAGCTATGTTATGTCTTTTTTCGAAGGGAACTGCAGCTTTTCACTTTAAAACTGCTTTGTTAACCCACCAAATTACTGATATTGTCACCATATTGTGTTTTGCCTATAAGTGATGCTTCAGACAGTGCTAAATTCACAGCATTGCAGTAGCTGGAAATGGCTTTGGTTTTATCAAAATTCATCAATGGAACCTTCCATTTAAAAGTTGCATTTGAATGAGAGGCATCATTAATGGGTTAAATCACAATAAATTCAAATAAGTTTTTTAATTACTAATTACTAATAATAACGTTAATTATTAATCTTGGTTAGAAGAATTCAGTTAGAAGAACACAGGTTTGGTTCCTGACTTCTCGCTACACTCCAGCCATTGTATGGATTTGTAAATTCCCATCACACACCTGATTTAAATTAATGAAAGACTGATTAGATAAACTAGCCGTTAGATGGGAAGTGTGAATAAGAGACTTCCCATCAAAATATATTGTTTATTTGTTTACTTATTTGTATTAAATCTAATGGCAGCATTTTTAAATAAAGAAATGCTGACTTCTCTGATAAATGGTTTGAGAGAGAGTACAGGAGTGCGAATGAGAGTGTGTGTGTGTGTGTGTGTGTGTGTGTGTGTGTGTGTGTGTGTGTGTGTGTCTGTGTGTCTGTGTGTTACCGTCAGCAGCAGTGCAGCGGGATGCCAGTTCCCACAGCACGAGCCCCACAGCGTACATGTCGATCCTCAGGAAGGCGTCCCGCTGGAAATTTATAGCTCCTTCCAACACCTCCGGAGCCATGTAGCGCCGAGTGCCCACCTTAACAACACAGAAACACACATACCTTTATACACATCATCAAAAACAACAGGCAGCACTGAGAACAAAAACACACACCTTAAAGGAAGCAGTTTGTCAAAAATCTAAATCTTTGCATAATTTTATCCTGATCTTTAGGAATAAAGGGAGCTGTTGTTCAGAAAAACCTCAGTAGCTTTTCTAAAAATCAGCTAAAAGCAATCTGTTAAATCAAGTGTTCACAGTTTCCCCCCTTATTTGATGTCTGAAGTTTTTGCACCAGAGCTATAAGGCTAATGCAGCTCATATTATTGAAAGCTTATACCCACCAATCAGCATGGTGCAAACAGCTTGCCTAAATCATCAAATGCTTGCCTCAAATTGGTGGATTATGAACCTCCATTACTTGTTGGCTACATTAGCTTCATCACTTTGTGCGAAACTAAAGTCAGCAGTCTACTTCAAAAGAAAAAGACGCGTTTAAGGTAAAATGTCATCTTTTTGGCCAAAGCGATGTGGTGGTGTGAGTCATATAGTGCAGTGTGTGCTGGCTACTAAACAGAACGCCTAATGACCACCTTGGATTGTTCTGAGACCTCCCCTGACTGTGACTGGCTCCAATCACAGTATAATGTCTTTTGTGACTTCTCCATGACCACGATTTGTTCTAGTCACTGTTCTGAGACCTCCCCCTGACTGTGACTGGTTCTAATCACTGCATCAGCTGTTCTGAGACCTCTCCCGGACTGTGACTGGTTCTAATCACTGCATCAGCTGTTCTGAGACCTCTCCCGGACTGTGACTGGTTCTAATCACTGCATCAGCTGTTCTGAGACCTCTCCCGGACTGTGACTGGTTCTAATCACTGCATCAGTTGTTCTGAGACCTCTCCCGGACTGTGACTGGTTCTAATCACTGCATCAGCTGTTCTGAGACCTCTCCCGGACTGTGACTGGTTCTAATCACTACGCCAGTTGTTCTGAGACCTCTCCCAGACTGTGATTGGTTCTAATCACTGAATCAGTTGTTCTGAGACCTCTCCCAGACTGTGATTGGTTCTAATCACTGCATCAGTTGTTCTGTGACCTCCCCCTGACTGCAAATGGTTCTAATCACCATGTTGTTTGTTTTGAGACCTCCCCTTGACTATGATTGGTTCTAATTACAATGTTGTTTGTTTTAAGACCTTCCTCTGACTGTGACTGGTTCTAATCCCTGCTAGGTTTGCTCTGAGACCTCCCCTTGACTGTGATTGGTTTAAATCACTGCGCCAATTGTTTAGAGACCTCCACCAGACTGCTAATGGTTCTAATCACCATGTTGTTTGTTTTAAGACCTTTTTGACTGAGACTGGTTCTAATCGACGCATTGTTTGTTTTGAGACCTTGTTGTGAAATGTTCTTCACATGGTTCCCTGCGTCTCTGCATGGAGCGGCCCTCTGAGGGTGCTGAGTTTCAGAAAGATGTAGACAGAGCTCTTCTTAAGTAAACTATATATATATATATATATATATGTGTGTGTGTGTGTGTGTGTGTGTGTGTTGTGCTTGTATGAGAAGGAGTCCTCTGCTTGTGTAGGGGTCAGAGCTCACCTGTCCGTGTGTGTCACCTGCAGACTTTCCTGCCTCAAATTTGAGAGCAAGGCCAAAATCAGCAATGCAGGCACTCAGATTACTCTTCAGCAGTATATTCTTACTCTTAATATCCCTACGAGACAGAGAGAAACAACAAATACGCAAAAAGAAGGTTAACAAGACTACACTACAGAAATACACAGCTAATGAAGGATGGGCAGATAAAATAGCAGAAACAATAAGATCAGTTAAAACAAGTTTAATGTGTGTGCAGCCAATGAGAGAGCACCTGTGGGCAACGGCGGGCTTATGACCATCCTTCAGTCCAGGGATGTCCTCGTGCAGATATGCCAAACCTCGAGCAAAAGTCTGCGCTATGTGACACAGCTCATTCCAGGACACCACATTAGCCTTCAGGTAATCAGTCAACGAGCCCTGTCAATACATACACATGCAGACAGTCATAGGATAAGTGTGACGTAAACCACAGGTTGGAGCATAATGTGAAATACTGTGGCCACCAGGGGTCACTTATGAGCCTGTAATGAATGGCAGAAACATATGGTGCCCAAAGCTAAACAATGGTTCAATAGAATGACCTAAAAATGTCATGAGCGAGTGCACATTTGTGTGAGTATATGTTTATACATTATTATAGTAATCTGTGATGGGACACAGTTCTGTGTACAGAGTCTCCTGTGCATATTCTGGGTGTATTCTTTTATGCCTTTTTAGTTAGCGTGCACTTGTGTGTCTGTCAGTACACATTAACACCTCATTATAGAGAGCAGTGATGAGCTACAGTTAGAATTGTCCTTTTTGTGTATATCACAGCTTGCCATACGCCAGACGCTACACACTTATTTATGCAAAAAAACCATTAGGCCCAATCCCATTTCTTCTTTTTACCCCTACCCCTTGTTTTCGAGTGTCACCCTAACCCCTTGGAACTGAGTTACAAGGGGTAGTGGTTGAAATCTTGCCCTACGAAATGGGACTAAAAAAAAACAAAAAACAAAAAAAACAAAAACAAACACTGCTTCATTAACAGCTACTAGCGCTGCTCTGTTGGCGACCCGGCGCATCTTCAGAAAAAGCAGAGGAGGGTAAAGTTCAGCTCCTCACTGCTGGGCTTTAGTTACATTTAGGGCATCGTATGCCTTCAAAGAGGGGGGCAATTATTTATTATCGCCAGCCACCAATTCTTTGGTGATACGAAGCTGAAGTCAGATATTCGCCAGCTTCTTGTTCGAATTTTCCTGTTCCACCTTAAATGGTGCAGCAGTTACATTCTGGTGCTTCTGGCATCAAAACTGCTGGACTATTTAAGGTGGAGCGGGAAAGTTCGCTAGCTAGCTACCGAGACATTAGCATGCTATTAGCGATTTTTTTATGCTTGTTATGAAGAAAATAACCATAAATACACTGAAACGACATTAAACTAAGACAATACAGTGGTTATCATATTTTTTAACTGAAAATTCTCACATTTGTGGGTTTCTTTGGTCGCTCGCGCAGCCATCTTGCTGGTTTTTCTTTTTTTTTTTCCCCATAACACTGTTTGGAGTGTGAAAAACCTCTGTTTGGACAGCCATGTATCCCTAACACTTGGCCCTACCCCTCTATCTCAACAAAAATCGGGACATTCTACCCCCAGACATGAACGCGCAAAACAGAGGGCTAAGGGCTAAGTGTTAGGGGCAAGGGGTGAAATGGGATTGGGCCTTAATTACAAGTTACTCAATTTGCGGAGAAAGGGGAAAGTCAAATGTTCAAAAAATGACTGAAAGATTAAGATAAAATAGGCCTCCAAACAACTGTGCAAGAGCTGGTAGACCACCAAAACGGTCACCAAAGCATTCATTTAAAATGAAAAAATCAGAATCAGAAAAATCAAGCTTTACTGTTACTTTAAATCTGAAAAATCCAAACATGTTTCTGTCCATTCTTTAACTATGAGAAGGTAACTCAATGCTAAGGATGTGTAGTTCTCAAAAAGACCACTACTAAGAAAAGGAAAGACAAAAAAAATGCAAATCCAACAAAGAAGTTGCTGGTGGACTGGCCGCCTCAGAGAGAAGACCAGGGGTCGGCAACATGCGGCTCATCTACTGTCCTGTTGCGGCTCCACAGCAGAATTAGATTTTTAGGTAAAAATAAAATAATCCTCCTTTGCAGTAAAATAAAGCTCTGCTGATCATTCAACACAGTAAACAATAAATAAACTAACACTAAACAAACAGTCTTAAACGCTGGAGTTAATGTAGAACTGCTAATTCACCCTTTAACTCTGAAGGCTGGCGCACAGACTGCTGGTCACCATCGCAACAACAACAATCTGGCTTAGCTAGTAGCTAACGAAACGGCAAAGAGAGAGATTTAAGGCGTATATCAATAATTTGGAGCCGAATGTCCAGCTTGTTTCCTGATATGTTTAATCTACAGCAAGAAACTGTCAAACACTAAAAAGTCACAAAGCTGAACTCAGCTTCTCGTTTAGTGCAGCAGCTCTGGCGCCTCGCGCACCATTTAAGGTCGAACGGGAAAATTCTAACAAGAAGCTGGAGAATGAGAGGCTGACTTCAATGTTTAGAGACATTTTACAAGAAACTATTCCACTTTTGTGGAAAAGCTTCCTGCTGGAGATGGGAGAACAGTGACAATAGCTGAGCTAAAGCTTAAAGCAGAGCAAAGTAAGTCTGCGTTTTCGTTTATATTACATTTTTAGCCTATACTAGTACATTAGCACATACTGAGACATATTTACAGCCAAGATGATAAAAAATAAAATATTGTGGCTCCCAAGGTGGTCTGATTTTTGTTAAAAGGACAAAATGGCTCTTCTTAACATTTGGGTTACTGAACCCTGGTGTAGACTGTTCCAACTGGAAATGAAATGAAATAAAATAAAACAAAGGTTATCTGACTGCTGCACAGTACTATATTATCACCTATATACTGTGTTTGTGTCACTTTTATACCTTATGTATTAAGCTCTGAAGGGCTAGAGCTCAATGCACACAAGTTTTATGTATGTCTTTGTGTGAGTGAATACCTTCTCGTGGTAAGCTGTAATGAGCCACAGCTCGATGTCCATGCCGTTTCCTCTCTTCTCAGCTCCGATGAAGCTGAGAATGTTCTCATGTTTCATCCCACTAATACTGTAGATCTCATACTCATTCTGCCAAGACAGCTTATTCTGTGAGATAAAAAACAGGCAAAATTAAAAACCAGTTTCAACACTCTTAGCATCTTTCAGAAATGCAATTGCATGAGCTAACACCACACACACCCACACACACCCACACACCCACACACACCCAAACACACACACTCACTCCCTTTGTGTTACCTGTATGGGGAAGATTTTCACAGCCACGTATTCACTGAGTAGCTGTGCCTTCCACACGCAGCTGAAGCGCCCCCTGGCTTTAACCTCGAGCAACTGCAGTGGCTTCTGGCCCAGGAGCGGGGAGGGGGGAGTTGGCCCAGGGTCCTGCAGAAAGATGAGCAACCAGTCAACCCACACTGTGAAAAAGCACTGCGGTAAAAAGCACAACATTCACTCAACCAGTCAGATCAAACTGCCATCTACAACCTGCCATCCAAAACAGACTAAACCAATAAACACCCCTCCACCAACCAGGACACAGGTTACAGGTTGTAACCAATGACACGAGACCAATGAAAGCACAGTGCAGTGTTTGCAGTGTTGGGCATTTGAACAAGTCACTCATGTACTGCTTTTACTGAAGCAAACAAGTTGAGCACATCTTATGTTTTTCTTATATTTTATTTTTTTTCTCTAAGGGGCACTTAGGATGTACGTGGAGGTTTATGCATCAAAATTCATTTTATATGATGCTTTTTAAATCTCTTTGTCCCTTAAAGTATGTCCCACAAATATTAAAAAATGTCCCTGTGTTTTTTTCTTACTGTGCATTTAAGATTCATACACATAAAGTACCTCTGTTCTGACCTGATGCCTCAATCAAAAAGCAGTTTGGGCTGAAACACTCATAATTTTAAAGTGAATGGGCGGGGCTAAACTGCTGTAGCTGGAATAGGGCAATATATCCACATGTGTTGGTTTACATGACATCACAAAAACAATCAATTCAAAAAGGGCCTAGCTTCCATAAATAGACTGTATGGACTGGGGAGTGAATGTTTAAATACACATACCGAACTTTTTTACTTCAAAAAGCAAGGAAAGGTCAGTTTTCTTTGTTATGGGCTCTTTAACTGGGGACATATTTGATTTCCCAAAAAGAAATCCCAGAAAGAAATCCCAGAAATTCCCAGAAATGTCTACATTTTGCTTTAACAAGCTTCTGTTCCACTTTAGACCATATTGAAATAAGCATATTATAGGTGATATGATTAAAAGGCACTAATTCACATTAAAGGAGTACTAAGATTTTTACAGCACAAAAAACTCAATTGTAATAAATCATAATTGCAGTTAGAATATAAACGGTAGACCACTGCGCACCACTGTAACTTTGTAAACGTTAATTTTGGCAAAATTCAATTGTTAAAATTAAAACAAAAAATTAAAACAAAGTCATTCAGTGTGGTTTGATGTGAAATGCTCCATTCTAGAGAAACTTGCCAGTGAGTCTGAATTGTTCATAGTGGCGGTGATGGGAGCCAGATGTCAAAACAGTTTACTATTTCTAAAAGCTCCCTCATAAAAGCTTCCCATGCAAAATAGTTATGAAAACGCTGCTTTATTCTTGCGACACTGTTTCATCATAGCTTTGAAAAGGTTTCAGCCTTAAATACATTTATGTTGGAGAGGCACATGCAGGGCATTGTGAGGCAAAACAGTCCACAAAGAAAATATATATTTTTTTAACCACTATTAACCACTATTATCATCATCAACATTATCACACCATCATCAACATTACACTTTAAAAACTAAGATCACCTCACTGGTTGTTTTTAAAGGGAAAATTAAACTGACATATTTGTGTTGAAGACATTGTGACCCCTGGTTCCTATCAGCACCACTGTAAAGGAATCTGAATGACAGAAATTTTGAAAAATGGTCAGAGCTCCTCTTTCCAAATGTGGCAAATGTACATAGTTATTGGAAGTTTTTACATGTAGAATAATATGATTATCATTTGGTTTTTGTACAGCACAATATTATTAAAACTGGTAGCCATTCCATCCCTGATCATGGCACAATCTGCACACTGGAGCTGAAACTCTCTGCTCACTTCAACAGTGACAGATGCTGCGAGATGAAGCAACAGCCTCGTAGTGAGCCGTAATCTGATTTTTCTGCTACACTCGAGCCTTCAGCTTTTTCTCTCCTCATCTCACTGTGCTCCACTACCCTTTACTCCTCACTAATCAGGGAAAAGAACGAGGGGAGAGGCACGTCTCTCCAGGGACAGAGAGGCATGAGGAGAGAGAGAGTAAAAGAGAACGAGGGGTGTGCAGGGTTGGTTTGACATTGGCCAGGGTCACGTGGGCGGTAAACACGCGCAGCTACATGCTTACGTTTGACTTTTCCTGCGCTCTCAATTATTGAAGAGACTCTGAGAGCTGACAGTGGAACTGAAAAGCGCTTCAGACCCAGGAGCAGTTTCCCTGAGCCATCCTACACAAACACACAGACATTTATAAACAAAGACTTCATACAGGAGCACCGTGGCCTTTATGATACAGAACTCAAACAGACTCAGCAATGTCTGTATAGAACAGAAATCATACAGGAGAGTGTGCTCCTGCAATATTAAATTCATACAAGAACATAAAGGTTTCTCTCACAGCGTTCAGTGTCAAAGGCCCTGTGATCCAGAATTCACACAGGAACAGGAAACTCTCTTTAATACAGTATTCACAGAGAAAAAGCCAGGCTTGCAGAACACAACATTCACATTAAACACAGCCGTTTATAGATCACCACAGTTGGTGTGGATACGGGTTTGCTAGCCTGTATGCAGCGGCAAAAGAAAACTGAAAACCATCTTTCTGTTCACTCTTCACAGCCACAAAAGAAAAGAGCATGAGCATCTTCCTCCATCTTATCCCAGTATCAGTAGCATAACTGAACAGTAGAGGTCTGCTACCTGACCCATGCCTGATGGGGCCCTACAAAACAGTGTTTTGGGATGGGTTTCGGGCCGCTTCACGTATACAGTCGGGCTCGGGTTTGTTTTCTAAAGCAGTGTTCAATGTTTAATTTTCCTCAACTTGCCCAACTGGGCAAGTGGACTGAGAGTTTACAGTCTGAAAAAGAGTTTACAATTGAGTTTGCTTTTAAAAACATAAAAATGAGCTTAAATATAAAAATAAAAGCTATTAATAAAATAATTAAAACTATTGTTATTATTATTAGGGATGCAACAAAATTTCAGCCATTGAAACTTACCAGCCAAAATAGTCAAAAGTGGCACTTTTGGCTGAACATTAAAAAAAAGGCTAAAATAAAACCCAAAATATTAAGAAGGACTCAAACAAAGTACAAATAACAAATCATGTGAATGAGAAACACTGATTGGTCAGAGCAAGAAGCAGTTAAAGCAGCAGCAGATCGCCAGTGTGAAAAAAAAATACTTTCCCAATTTCTATATGGGACATTAGACGAGATTCAGAAATCTCTTATTTATGCTACGTATCAAGAGGAGATATAACATCCAAGAACTTCTACACTGCCGATTTGATACCACATAAACAGCAAACACCTTCAAACAGGAGTGCAAAGCCCCGTGAGCATGTAGATATCACTTGTAGACTGAGTTTATGAAATTAAAAAAGAAAGGAAAAAAAAGTCAAAAGTGCAAACAATAGTTAAAAGGAATTCACTGCCCTGGATGATCAGCCGTTCTCTGTTGTCAAGGAAGTTGGACTTTGTGGGCACATTTCATAGCCTACATGTTGTGGTCACTTTAGTAAATATATTTTAGGTAAACTTTTGTTGTCAGCTCGGTTTTGTCTTATTGAAAGCAGTTTTTATTAAACAGAAAATG